TGTTTTTATTTTGAAGCTTCATAAAGATTTATTTAGCGTTTTATAATTATGTGTCTAACATTTCAAAATTTTTATCTTTATTTTTAATCAGAATAGTTTCCAAATTAGCTCTTTGAATATTGAAGATTTTACAGCCAAAAATGAAATTTTCACTTTCATGCAAATAATAGATTTTATAATGGAAATAAACTTGTTGTAAATTTAATCTGCTCAATTTGTTGAAAAGATGCCCTTAAATTAAGAAGAAGAAAAACAGTTAATTTAAAGAGATGGTGGCATCAAAAAATATGTTTTCTTTGATGATATTAATTTTTTTTAGTCAATAATGAGGTCCTTGCGGTCTAACATCTTCTATGGAGATTTGGTTAGGCCAAACGTTCCACATTGCAAGGAGGAACAACCACATTGTAAGCACAGTGAAAGTCCTCTTCATTTGTCGAAACAAGAAACAACGCGTGGAGCGTCTCTTGTCGTCTACCACCAGCATACCCTTTTAGTCTGCGACCGCAGCAGCAATCCTTGATTCCGTCCCGCACAGTAAATAAAGCAGAGGTTCGCTTTTCAAATGTTTTCGGACCTGGGGCAAAATCGTTCTTGTTTGTCGCTCGTAAATTCACCTCGCGCTCACCCACCTATATCTTTTTGCGCAGTGAGGAAAAATTCACTTTGCATGCCAAGTTTTATCTCACTCTGTTCGGAACGGAGGAAATAAAAGAACGATAATTTTACACTACTTGTACTGCCACGATTTTAATGTGTGTAATTTTTTAAACGAAAGAAACGAGCGGTCGCGTGTGAAAGGCACAGCTCTAAATTCCAGCCAACGCAGAGAACGCCTGCAGACTTAAAAAGTATGCAGCCCGCGCGACTTCCAAGCCGAGCAAGTTGAATAAATAAACACACATCGTCCATTATTCAGGTGCATCAGAAAATTGTATTCCAAAAGGTACCTAGAAAAATTTTGCAAAAAGCAATAATAGTGATGTTCAGTAATGCTTATCCAATTTTGATACCCAGAGCATAATTTGAGAAAAAATTATCATCATTGTGGATTAATTAATTGTTTATTGTTCAGATTTAAACTATTTTGTTGATTAATCGATACAAAAATTATATAATCTCTAAAATTTTCAATTTAAATCTTTAGCATACATTTGAGAACACCAAAATCATGTTCTAGGAAATCAAAATAGTTTATACTAATAAAATTAACTAGTATGTTTTAAATACTAACTTTCATTAATTTGTAACAAAACCTTGCTTTTTATCCAGCAATTTATAACTTCAATGCGGTAGTGTTGTAAGTTATTTCCTCCAAAAGAATATTTGACGCCAATGGCAAAAAAACAACTGCTGATCACCGTAATGCGGTAGCGAGTGGCGCGTCTTTTACTCTGTTTTTGTCTGCACAATCAATTTCAGAGGTCGCAGATGTGCGGTTGTCGGTGACTTTTTTCGCCTGAAGGCCACACTCATTATACATACAACGCGGCAAGAGTAAATAAGTAAGTGCGCCGCTTTTGTTTATTGGCGCTTTAAAGGACAGGTCGGTCGGTCTTCCTCCAGCTGGGATCAAAGCCTATCGCTGGCCAAAAGTGTGTCATGCATGCAAAGCGCTCTCTCTGCATTTTCACTGCAGCGCGCGTTTCATTTGCGCGCGGCGACTAAAACTTTGACGTCCCCACTTGGCATAATCCGTGAGCACTTTTGGCAAGCTTCAATTTTTCCCTTGGCGACATTTACATGGTAAATGACTGGCGTCAACCAAATTGCTGTGAAAGATTGAAGCGTTTTCTGGAAAAATTGAGTTTACTATTTTTTTTGTAAAATATTTAAAAAATTTCAGACATGTGACGGAAGAAAAGGTTTTGTTGAGGAATTTTATCTTTTTTGCCTGTTCAACATGCCTGTTGACATAGATTCGTGGCCCAAATTTCAAATTTTCTTTCAATAATTGCGAAAATCGGTTTCTATTGTTGTCAAGACTTGTTTCAATGATGCCAAGTAAGGAGTAAATTGAATTTGGTTTAAAATTCTATTCAGAAGTTGGAATTTTTTTTAATTAAATTTTTTATCAAAATTTTAAGTACATAATTATTATTATTATTAAAAATTTAGTTTATATAATTTAATCTTCCAATTATTGGTATCTCATATTTTTACAACATATTTAAAAAAAAAAGTAATTTACTGACAAAATGGCACTTTTAAAAACAGAACGGCGGCAAGAAATCTATTTATTTATTTATTTTTTAATTTTTTTCACTGTATATTATGCTTTTGCTTTGGTATGATGTATGATGATTTTATTAATGACATAAATCTTTTCCTCAATCAAGAATTATGTCAGAATTGTAAGATAAAAGAATTCTTTTTATCTTCCTCATTTTCTTTGAAAGATTTGCGTTCTACAAGAACAAAAGACTTGTTCGTAATCGAATAAACTTTGCGCATCACTTAATTGATCAAAAGCAAACAAACCAAAACTTGGTCGGCCGCTCGTGGGAAAGGGAGCACGTGCGTCTTTTTCGACGCTAATTCAATATTGGCGTTTTGGCCCCGCGGTGCCGCTCGCTTGCTGCCAACCTACTCGGCGATCTGCCTGAATTCATACTCTGCAAGCACTTTTTGCTCCTCAGCTTTGGAGATATGAAACTGCGCGGCGCCGACTTGGCGGGCCCTTGCGTTTGCAAATAGGTTTGAAAAAAATATATACAATCTTGAGGTGCCATTTTTTTACCCTGATGAATTTACTTCACTCTTGATAAAACAAATTTGCATGAAAATATCGAGCTAAAAATTCCGCAGTCTCACTCGACACTCAAGATTTTGCCCAAATTTAAATATTTCATGGCCGGACGCCATCAAATGTTCCACTGGCTCATTGTGCCGTGCACCCTTATCCAAGCTAAAGAAACGTTTAGAGGCTCGTTATCAAAAATAGCTGGTGCTCTTTCTCTCTCTGCCCTTTTGAAGTTGCTTCTCTTGGCAGAAGAGTCCTTTGTGTTGCTGCAGCTGAAGATGAGGGGCCGCTTCTTTCTCCGGCCGCCTCGATTGCCCTCTCTCTCTCTCCAGCACATACAAACTTTCGAAATTCGCCCGCGCGTCCACGTGCCCAGTTTCTTCCTGTTTATCTCTCTCGGAGAAAGAAAAGACATAAAAAAGGTCATAATCCCGTTCACATCACAGAGTCCACCCATGCAAACTTATTTTCTGAAGAAGTTACATTGCTGAACGTAGTTTGCTCCTGGGAAAAGTGGACACTTTGCAGGATCCTATATTTTTCACAAATTTTTGTGAGTGCTTTCGCTTGGATTGTAATTTTTATTTTATTCTATGAAATTTAAATCTGATAAAAAATTTTAAAGATAAAGCTTTTTTCATTTAAAAACATAAAATTTTTTGTATTGACCGAGAAGAATAAATAATAATAATAACATATTGAAGACGATGTGAGGGAAATAAATTGATTCACTCATTGAATTTACAAGGCTTATCCACGTCTAGTTTTTCATTTCAAAGCAATGCTGTTAATTTACTGAAAAGACAATATAATTTTTTTTTAATACTATCTGGCTTAAATGAATAAATTTGCATTTATAATTACAAAATGTTGTGTTTAGTTCAAAGAGACCGTGATGTGCGATGAGAAGTGCAAATTAAGGCCGGCGCGCAACTGATGTGGAACAATTTCGTATATGTTGTCTATCGCGTGTTTAGCTGAATTCAATAACGTTTGGTTTGCGGATTGAGAGGCACTTCACACTCTGTTGTGAATTAATTACATGCCATTTTGCATAACTATCGTGCGTGATCAGCAAGTGTTCATGTGAGCTTAATTGATTCTGTGTCTGTGCTGGGATGCAAAATTTGTGTACATGATGGGAAGCGGGATATAAGCATTTTCCTTGGTGAATAAATATAAATGTTATTGTTGCGACAAGAAAGGAGATGATGACGATAAGGGCGTGCCGAGATCGTACAAACACGAGAAGCAATATTCGCGCCACTTGACAATTTCATCATTGGCGATCTTCCTCTCTTTTTCCGCAAACAAGCTTTTCCTTCTTTCATACCAAACACAAACAAACACACGCGAATTTTATCGGTAGCAAGCCTACATTTGTGCGCCGTGAGCGTTATTTGTGCGCTCAGCGAGCCTCTTGGGCCATAAATTTGGCCCAAGTCACTTATATATATTTTAAGTGCTGAGATATATACGCCTGAATAATTCATTCAGAATGGCGAGTCGTAAATGTCAGCTGCATACACGCGCTTTGCGGTTTTGTCAGGAAATTCTTTCACGATCTGCCTAAAATTTAGATTACTATCAAATGTGTGGACAAGGTTATATAAAAATATTTTTAGTAAAAACGTAAATTTTGAGAGATCTTGGAACTTTAAAAACCATATCGCCGGCTCGAAATCTGCCTCATTCAACTGAATATTTTCCCACATTAATTGTCTGGACACAAAGAGTCAAATTAACCGAGCGTAGCCTGATTAAGATTACGTAGAAATAAACATATAGCACATTTCAATTTCATCCTATTCAGTGCACCACAAAAGTTCTCCACATCTTGTAAATCCAATAGTGATTTATGCATAAGTCAAAGTGATCTCTTTTATGATAAATCATTTAATTTCTGCGTCTTTTATATTTGCTCACTGAGATCAAAATGAAATTTTTTTTAACCAAATTGACGCCAAATCTTGTATGAATATATTTTTTAAAATTTTATAGGCAAAATTCAAATTTATAGGAATTTTAATTCTTTAGCAAATTTACTGCAGTTTTTCCACCAAGATTGACTTGTTTTTTAACATCACAGCCCCTCCATGAAAACATAACACAATCCGCTGGCTCTTGTTGCGCCCGTCTTAACGTTTAAAGCCGTAATTCGCCTCGGGTGATGAAAATTTGATGGCCGAGCCAGTGGTTGCAAATGAATGGCGTGCGAATTTCATTAGCGGGCGTTGGAATTGAGAAAACAGCCGGCAGTCGTGGACAGGGCCGTGGCACGGCCATATGGGAAACTCGTCCCCGCTAAATACGGAAATATCGCGTTGACTAACTGCCAGAGGGCAGCACAAAACGCTTTTCGATCGTCACGACCCTGGTGGCGGCCACTGAAGCTCACGGTACAACAAGCTGCCGGCTGCCATATTGAATCGAGAAACGAAGCGCGGGAAGCACGTTTCTTTGACAGTTTGGCCGCTTTCCCACGGCCGCAGGCCGTGACAGGCCGAATTCTTGTCGCGCACGAGTGGCCAAAGAGCCAAGGAGTATTCTTAACAGCCACATCATCGGCCCAGGGGCCTACTTCAGCCCCGGCGGGCACGCAATGTGCGAGGTCGTCGGCGCAAGATTACTGAAAACAAACTTTTGGTGAGTGGAAATTTTCTGGAAAATTTCAATAATCATTTATTAATTGCACTTTATTCCAGAGACTGCGCCAGTTTCCCGTCGTGCGCTTCCAATTTAATTTTTCCAACCTGGGAGAGAATACGAGAAAAACGCTGGTGCAAATAAAAATATGTAGTCAACCAAATTGTGGTAAACTGATCTATTTTTCTTCTTCTAATTTTCATTTTTTGCAGGAATCGGAGTTTCTTTTTATTAACTGAGAGTGCAGTTCATTATCTTGTGTTTGGATACCTCATTTTATCACTTTTTGATATTGGTAGGATCATGAATTTAAGATGTGAACTTTTATGATGTTCTTGTCAACACCATGAATAAATTACCTCTTCAGGATTACAGGTATTTGGTTTATTTGCATTAATTTTGCTCTTGTGGGGGGTTTGGTATCCCTAAGTGTCAAGTGAACATCCATTAAGTTGTTTACCACTGGCATGCATCAAATTTGTTGTTAATAAAGATTTAAAAAAAAATGCGTTTACATCAAATTTGTTGTTAATAAAGATTTTTAAAAAAATAAAATTATTCGTTTACAATTGCAATATAAATTTTCTTCCCTCAAAAGAAATGTTTTGTATCTTTCTGCTGACTAACCTCACAAGCAAATTCTTGATGTTGATTCCATGTTGAATTTGTAAATGATGTAAAGATGGTAGTTTTTTATTTATTACTATACATAATAAACCAAATAAAATCAAATTTGAATAATTCTGTACAATTAAATAAAAATATAACAACTGTGGAGCACGTCTGGCTAGAATTTAAATGTATAAACCAATAATTTTATTGTTGGATAAGACAAAAGCAACCATCAAATCAACAGTTGACAATATTTTTCATTTTCATCGAGACATTCAAATTTCAACTTCCTTTAAACGCGATGTCTCAGATCCAGTATCCTGTTGGAGGAGGAAATATTCAAAAACCAAGTACACCTCTCGCAGTTCATGATCTTACTAATTCCAAAAAAACCAAGGATAAAATGATAAATAATGAGGTGTCCAAACACAAGGTGATGAACTTCACTCTCAGTTAATAAAAAGAAACTCCGATTCCTGCAAAAAATGAAAATTAGAAGAAAAATAGATCAGTTTACCACAATTTGGTTGACTACATATTTTTATTTGCACCAGCGTTTTTCTCGTATTCTCTCCCAGGTTGGAAAAATTAAATTGGAAGCGCACGACGGGAAACTGGCGCAGTCTCTGGAATAAAGTGCAATTAATAAATGATTATTGAAATTTTCCAGAAAATTTCCACTCACCAAAAGTTTGTTTTCAGTAATCTTGCGCCGACGACCTCGCACATTGCGTGCCCGCCGGGGCTGAAGTAGGCCCCTGGGCCGATGATGTGGCTGTTAAGAATACTCCTTGGCTCTTTGGCCACTCGTGCGCGACAAGAATTCGGCCTGTCACGGCCTGCGGCCGTGGGAAAGCGGCCAAACTGTCAAAGAAACGTGCTTCCCGCGCTTCGTTTCTCGATTCAATATGGCAGCCGGCAGCTTGTTGTACCGTGAGCTTCAGTGGCCGCCACCAGGGTCGTGACGATCGAAAAGCGTTTTGTGCTGCCCTCTGGCAGTTAGTCAACGCGATATTTCCGTATTTAGCGGGGACGAGTTTCCCATATGGCCGTGCCACGGCCCTGGTCGTGGACGAGGGGTGCAGGGGGTGGCGGCCAGCTGTGGAGGGCGCGATCGATCGGTCTGCACTACTCTAGGCCACCCCACCAGCCAGCTGAGCGAAATAGCAGCCCTTGTTCGGCTACACCCTTCCTCCGCACTTTTCGTCTTTTTCGTCAAAGCCTCAAAATCCTCTCACGAAAAGTGATCAGCCGGATTTTTCAAGCAGAGAATAGGTTCACCCGCGGCAGAGTTGCAAAAAATTTAATGGCTTTTTCAGCTTTCGGGGTTTGCCCTGGCTGACGAAAAAGAGAACTGTCAAAACTGTTGAGGTTATTGGAACTAAATACTAAATAATTATGTACTGGTTTATAATAAATTTGCAATCAATGTTTTGAATATTTTGTCAGTTATATAGCAAAAAAAAAAAAAGAAAGAAAGAAAAAGAATAAAAAACAGACGAAGTAACTTTTCATTTTATTATGAGATAAACACAATTTAATTGATACTGGATGCAAACAGAAATATATTATTGCAACTCTTTTATTGTATTTATAGCGCGAAATTACATAAGTGCACTCTATAAATTCTCTCCCAATGTGATTTTTAATTTTTGTTTGACTTGTTGCGAGAGAATAAATGAATTGAATTGAATAAACGTAATTCACCCATTTACGTATGTCAAGAAAAATAGAAACAAGAGTTTAAAGAAATAGAAACTTTAACATTAATAATTTACAATTTCACCGATTTAATCAATAAATTCCTGTTCTTGAGTAAAATTCATGCGCCGAAAAGAATATTCAGCAAACTAACGAAGAACAAAGCGATTTTTTTCTGTGCCTAGCTTGTTGAACCTCTGCAGTCCGTACAAAGTATAATTTGGAAATTTCCTTGCAAATCAGCTCAGCCATAGTCATCGCTGGAACTACTCATTTTTGAGCAATAAAACTTTCTGCATATAATATGTGGTGATGCTTCCCATATCACGATTGCATATAGCATTATTGTATTTGGCCCTGGGCATAATTATGCATATTATGCATAATGCACAAGTTTAAGGGAACTCTCGAACACTGCATCACGCAATGTGGTAAAAAGACTTTTTTTTGCGCTGCCAAAACCCATAAAATTTAAAATCGGTTTAATGATGTTTTGGATCAAAAATTAATCAATAAACTACACGTGTAATCGCTTCCCTCCATCAACTGACCCCGTGAGATTAATTAGTCCTATCAAAAAGTGCAACACGTGTTGCTTATCCACATACATATTACATTAAATGATTTTGATTCTGGAACAGAGGGGAGAGGCTTTATTATGCTTTGGAAATTTAGGTAAATTTATAAATATCTTGACATTATAACCATCATTACGAAAAAAAGTAAAAAGTTTTTTTTTTAATTTTAACACCAAATTTGTCAAAAAAATTGTTTTGCACATTTTTATGCTGTACTTGGAAAAAAAAATCATGTTATTAAAAATTCATGGTGTTGAAAATGGAGTTAATGCTCTTGAGGTTTTGGGACGTCACCGGATAAAAAGGTAGTCGCGAATAAATGAGCCGATGGTGGCGCGATTTGCAAGGACCGTCCGTGCGGGGGTGGCAGAGGAGCCGCCGCCGAGAGGGAGGAAGGCGTGGCGAAGGGGTGATATCGACTGGTTTGCGGCAATACAGGGCGCGTGCGGAGTGAATTGAGCCCCGCGTACTTCTGCACTTGGGCTGTGCTCCTCCACTGCCGCAGCAGACCCCAACGACCTTGGCTGACCTCACCCCGTCAGCTCTGCCACTTTGGTCCGCCTCTTTCTCTCTCTCTCCAACCGCGGCGCACTCCACCTCGTATTTTTTTTAACCTCTCCGCTGTGCATAAAAAACTAAGTAAATCTCAAAATATAACTCATCACAATTATAATAATATAATTATGCGATGAAAATGATCAATTCATTTTTATTACAAAATTATACTTTTTTGCAAGAAAAAAATATGTCTTGCAATTAATTCTAATTGTGATGTCCTTTGCAATTCTATAGTTTCCGCTGGTTTCAAGTTCCTTTTCCACTACAATAAAAACGACATTCTATGCTTTTCTATTTTTTCCTGATTCAAAAGATTTCTTTTCTTCCTGCATTGCGTTGTCATTCTGCATCAGTTCTGTATAACTTCATTTCTTTCAAACAATTACATCTCCAATAATTGATTATTTATAAATGTTTGTAAAAACTATGATTTCAAACAATTCAAACAAGTAAGACGAGTGAAACAACACAAATAGTATAATAGATAAGAACGATCATTGCATTAAAAAACATGAACCTTGCTTAAACATATCATAATCACCCACACCTGCTTTAATTCATTGTATTTTTTAAGAATATATAATTTATTAATATGAAAACGTTTTTTCAAATTAGCTTCATTGACATATCAATTTGCAATATATAATATGTACACAATATAACTATATAAATTAACGAATTAATTTCAGTCTCTGTGCTTGCGATAAGGAAAAAATCATTATAGTTGCGCACAATAATCAAGCAAGTGCAAGGGGAACAAAGATAATTCAGAGCTTCTTATAAAATCCAGCGGGTGGCAGCACCAACACCACTCCCAATCATACACATTAATACATGCAATCGAAACTTCTCCTCCTAAACATTCATGAGCTCCTGGTGCGTGTGAACCGCTCGGGGGCCTTTCTGCTTATGGAATGGCCTCTATTCGTCCTTTTTCATTGGGTACATCTGATAGCCGAGGTTGGTAGGCAGCAGCTGACGTAGCTGCCTCTTTGATCCACTTCCCGGCGGTATCTTCGGGGGTGGTCGAATTCCCGAGCCTAGGGGTTGTCTAGTCGCGCGCAGTCAAATGCTCGCGCTACAATTGCTGCTGGCATTCGCAGATTCCAGGCTACCCTCGCTGGAAACCCTTTCTCAGGGTCTGCAGGGCCTGGATGACCCTTTGGTGCCTTCGGCGGCCGCAGCCAGCCGCCTCGCGGACGTGGAACCCGGCGGCTCGATATCGAGCGGTGTCAACGACCTCACCAGTCGAGCGCACGCTCCATAACGACTGGAAGCACCTCCTACGCGAGTTGGTGCTCTGAAGACCCGATACCACTCGCGGCTTGGAGTTGTGACGCCAAATGCCGTCTCTATCTCCAAACACAAAGGAGACCTCAAAATGGCTCCCAAATATATTTGCGAATGGGACATTGGTGTCGTCAAGTGATTACCATCAATCCCAACGTCACATAATTGATCGTCCCGACGTGTCCAGCAAATCGCATTTGACTTAAAACTCTCCGTTATTGAGCGCACAGACTAAGCCCGTCCCTGCTAATTAAAACCGGCGCATAACATTTCTGGATTCAAAGCTCACGTGATAAAACTGCTGAATAGATAGGCCACTAAAATGAAAAAGTTTTGCTTCGACTTCTCGGTTTTTTGCAAACGGAGCAAATTTCCCAATCATAGCTCTACTGATTAGTCTGATTAATGCCTATAGATAATGAAGCGTTGTTTTTTGGCCTTAATTCGCAGAAATTGTGCTTTCGTCGTGATTTTTGTTCAATTTAAACGATATAGTGATTTATTTTGATGAAAGAGACGTTTCGCATTCTTTTTCACGTGTTAAAAATAAGTTAAATCTGGTTGCAATGACGAGCACTGGGTTGCAAATATGGAAGTCATACATAAGTATGGGCGTTGAGCGCACTCCTAGAAATTCATGTACTCCTGATACTCGAAACATTTGTTTTCCCGCCAAAGAGAGGTTTTACCCACAGCATTTTCCTCCAACAGTGAGTTCGCGATTTTTGCAATTCTTGCGCTCTCTTCCGCCCAGTGGTGCGAACTGCAGTCGGTTGTGTGCGAATCTGGGCGCCATCAGAGCCCATCAAGCCGGTCGACTTTCGGCCTCCGTGTTTTCGACGAATCGGTCGACACGTTTGCTTCCGTCCACGCGTGCGAGCATTTCGTCTCGTTCTTCTACTCGAGCGAGAGCAATTCGCAAAGACTGGTTCTAACGCTTGTCCTATTCGCAAAATACGTCATTTGTCCTTCAGGAGCCCGTCCATCGCCGGTGTGACTTTGCCAATGTAACCAGTGCTCATCAGTCCGTAGAGGGTGACTTTCGCAAATTCGCAATAGCTAAATGATTTTGCACACTCCGCCAGAGTGGTGTGGCTCGTTCTAGCTTTGGAAACTAGATAGCACCACGAGAGATTCACGGATGGGATCACTGCAAAAAAAATCGGCATGCTGGCCAAGTGATGCTTCAATGGTGGTGTTGCCATTTTATCATTTCGCTTTGGCACTCCGTATAGGCTGCTCTTTATCTTGGGCTATGGCCTATTGAATCACACGCAGTTCCTATAAGGGAAATATGAACGCGCTCAATTTTGCAGTGTTTCCGTTTCTGATCTCGCATTTTTGCAAATTTCTAAATTTTGTTATTCGATTGCTATTTTGTGAGGAGACACAAATACGGTGTAACTTATTATAATGTCGAATTAGTAGAAGTATTCAGTGCGATGCAGCATTATATCAATTACCAACTTGCAGGGACGCAGAAATTTGTAAAATATTTCTGCAGAACTTTCTTTCGTGCCGCCGTGTTTAAATTTTACGTTTGATTATTTTTCGTTATTACGTTTGAGCTTCAATCAGACGCTTGTGAACTTTTGCAGTCGCGCACACTTTTAGCGCACGCGGGTCCGGCCCGTGCACACATTTCTTAACCCAAGCTGCTGCGCATGTTACCAAAATGGAGACTTTTGCTAATAGGGAAACATTAAAAGCTAAGAGGTGCTGGTTGTCAACGATCTTTAAGAATTTCATTATTATGCTTTGGTTGTAAAAATATTTTATAAGAAAAGATCAGTGTTAGAATCGTGGCATCCTGGTGACAGAAACTTACAAAATTATCTTAAGTTGGAGAGCTACATTATTTTTGCCATTTTCTATACAATTCTCTGTATAATTCTTTTCCAAGAAAAAGAAAATACACCCTTTTTTAACTTGTGTGACAGGAGATAAAAATTATATATCAAGATCTTAGCAGAAAGTATTTTTTTTTAAAAAATCGTCAATTCTTCGGTATGCTCAGAATTGTAGTTAAATTTTTACCGCAAGCTCTTCTCCAATTCATGCTTTAAAATTTTGCACGGAACTTCAAAAGTAATTAATTTTTGCAGCGCGATCGTAAACGTCTTCATAACCAAAATCACTCAGCGCTCGCGATATGTTTTAATACTTTAGCGGAATTAATAGGTGCGTGAAAGCGCGCACTCTTCACTGCATTTCCCAGGCAGCGGAGATGATTACGCTTGTCACTCTTTTATATCACTTTCACGCTTACAGACGTCAAACCACCGCACACAATACCAGGCGCTCAGAAAGCCGTAGGAGGCGAGCGTTGCGCAAAAACCCATTCCACACACACACACACGCAAACACATGATTGACTCGCGCGCCGTTTCGCATGGCGGAATTTCATGTGTGTGAACCACTTCAAATCTGCAAAATACCCTTCCGTGCCAAATTTTGCAACATTTTATAATAAACGCATTTTCAACTTCCTACTAAAAATTAATTAATGACTGCTGAAAATGAAGAAAATAATTCGTAGGATGCCAAACGGTGTATAAGTCTTGGATTTTGCACTATTGGCACTTTGGTGCGGAAAATGGAAAAGGGTTAGTTGGTTTTAGTTAGTTCGTTAACTAATATTTCTCCATATGTTTCTACCCGTGGCTACACTCAGACTAGGCCCGTATGCTGCTGCAGGAGGTGTTGCATGAGTGAGTGTGTGCAATACCGTAACACCATCAGATAGGGACCGGGTATTCAATCTCTCTGCCTGCAGACTTGCAGAGTTCAATGCATATATTCAAAGTAAATTTCTCAACTTCAACTTTGCCATCGGCAATTGACATTGCTGCTCGTCCCGCGGCGGCCATCATGAATCGCTTAGCTCTGCCCACGGAGCCCAAGGGAAACACGCCCCTGATGTTTCGGTGATCAATTAATTATTGGACTGCGCGTCTTGTACCAGTGAGACAATCAAGAGGTATTTTTTAATATTATTGTTAGTCAAATGTTTGCAAATAGACTCGGCTAACAATGTAAGAATTGGATAAGGCAAAATGTTTGATTCATTTAATTTAAAAAAAAAGAGGTCGACATTAATTATTTGTTTTTTAGAGTTAACGCAAACTGAAATTAATTTAATTCAAATATTTTGATCACTCCATATTTTAAAAAAAGGTTTTCAAAAAAGGATAAACAAATGTAGATTCTCTAATGACTTAATAATAATATTTTATGTTATTTGCAAAGGAAGCTTAATTTATGCTCATTTATGCTTTTTTGTACTGTTTTCAATTAAATAATTTTAACGCTTAATAGATTTGGTTTGACAGTTTGACGATAAAATAAGAAACATTATCTCAACCTGCATTAAAATAATTCTTTGTGATTAATTAATTTTGTAGTGTTATTTGGAATTATCAAAAATCTTGAATACTATAGGTATTCCAGCTGATTTCATACGAAAGATGTGCAAAATATTTTTGATCTCAACTTTCACCCCGCTGTAATAATAATTTCCGAGCGGTTTTATGGACTCCAGTTTTGAAAGCAGCCTTGCGTATTTATTATTATTGAGAGGAGCGCTGCTCATTTCATGTGCGCCGTTCCGCTCCGTTGATTTTCTTGCGCCTAGGGTCATGACGGTCACACATGGATGAAGAAAGCCGGGCGGCGGTGCCAGGGTTCAATGCGTGCCTAGGAGTCAGCGCGGCGACGAGGCCGCGACCACGCCTCCCCCGCCGAGCGAAAGGCGGCGCTTGAATATTTTAGCACGGCGCGGCGGAAAATCATATTTGGCCTATGAATGGCTAGTCGGCGTTCAAATTACAATTTAAAAGCGACCCGCACACACGTGAAATTAATTATTTTATTTAAAATATATAAATTTCCACGCGTTCCTCCGCGATTTCAGACTTTTTTCCCCAAAAATTTTAAATAAAGTATTAGGAGACAAGACAATTAAAAGAAGTAACACCACTTTGCTTGCCACATCCATGGAAACGAGCAGGAACGACGAGCATTTCCGAGCGGGATTCACCCTCGCCGCTCATTTGAATATAATATCGCGAATCATTAACAATGATGCGTCGCCCATGACCTGCAGTTGTTGGTCCCCAAATGCTCGGGGCTATTGGTATAAAGCTATTTGTTATGAGCTTGGATACCACAAAGGGATCAAAATTTGCTCAAAATTTTGCTTCAGTAGGACACTTTTGTTCTAAAAACCTACAAAAGCATTACATATATGATATAATTTTTTTTCAATGGCGCTTATTTTTTAGTCAATTCTCAAAAATATCAATTGCTTTTTCTAAATATCAATAACTAATTTACAAAAGAATCAATTTTTATATTGAGAAATATATTTAAAATCAAATGACCTTTAAAATATTGCTCAATATTTTTGAAGTAAATTTCGGAATTAATTAATTTTTTAGGGATCGAGAAATTGTATCAAAGAATAGATTTATTCATTATTATTATGTATACTGACAGCCCTTTGCCGGCGTCTGTGTATTGAGAATATCGTATTTCACGAGACCGACAAGTGGAAATAGGGGAGCGCACTCGAAGCCGCGGGGTAGCGTCGGAGCGAATACATCCGTGGACTGTCTCGTCCCACGGCCGTCAGCCGGCGGCTCTTGAGCTGCGGCTGAACAGCGCGCGGCTAATCAGAATCACACACAAAGCGACCGACCGACCGCAGAGAGAAAATGGTTTCGGCCTGACACCTGCCAGGACAATTGAAAGCCTTGAGTGCCAGGACTTCATGCCGGCCTAGCGTATCCGAAGTGGAAACAGCCGTATCAAACGGGGCCCCCGACCTGCTAGGCGCGTCTGCTCGCCGGGCCGCTCATTCTCGTGCAAGGCGGTCCTGCATACAAGCCGGGGGCAGGATAGGGGTGCCCAGCCACTCCCACCCTTGGCAGCACTGGGTACGCTTGATATTCATCAAGCCGCTCTGGGTAGGGCCTCCGAGCCACTCCCTTTGTGCTCGACCGTGGACAATCTAAATGTGTAGCTGGGCCCAAAGAGGTACAAGGTAGGTGGCCCGCGATACACGCACTCACACACACACACACACGCGCGCCCGTGTAATCGTCACTTCGCACCTGTGGGCTCAAAGATGTTCCTCAACTGTCCTCCGGCCGAGCCATTGCGACGCGGCTTTCATGTTTCCCTAGAAGGTGCACTGCCGACGCACAGAGACCGAGCACAGCCCGCCCTCACAAAAAGCCTCCCGCCGCCGCCATTCAATCCCTTCCATTCAATCACAATTCACAGATTGCTTTTTTGCGGTATTCAAGCGATTATGTAGAAAACAAATTGAAGGTATAAAAAAAACGCAGGAAATTTATGCAACCCACTTTAATATTCAGAAACTTAAACACCATTAACTTTGAATTAAATTGAAATTTTCATTCAAAAAATCTATCAGCAGCTTGGAAACACTACTGAGAAACTACCAAAAAAATTTCAAGAAGAAATTTTGACGTAGATGACCTCTTGCCTGCAAAGAACGTTTCCAAATTAATTTTTAATTAATTCTCATTAATTTTTCATTCCACAGTAAAAAAATTTTTAGGCTTAAATAAGCGTATATCTTCACTAGAATTAATTGCTTTTTTCTGTTGAAAAACAACCTAAAAAAGCTCTGAAGAATAACCTTAAATAAATGATGCTCACAATATTTTATAAACATCAAAATAAATAAATAAAAAAATACAAATAAAAAATTAATTAGCCTGTTTTTCTGGCAAATTTTAAGCTTTTACATTTTTTTACAGTATGTCTCTTTTAAAATGTATTTTCAGCTTTTTCTGTATAGTTTTTTTTTTTTTGCTGTATTCATGACATGACTGTATTGAATGGAGAATAAATAAATAAATTTAGTGTTCAATATTATGGTCAATTTAAACAGAAAAACTTAAGTTTTATTCTTAAATGCTACAATTAAAGGAGGGAAAGTCAAAGCCAATCAAATTGAACAAGGAAACTGAGGTGAAAAGCTGACCTTTCGTGGGAAAAATTTGCATTTAAAAAGTATATCATGTATGTTCTGCTAAAAATTGTAAATTTCATAAAAAATGGATTATAGGGGACCATTTTCCTGAAATTAAATCTCAATCTTCAATATCACGACCTAAATAAAAATTTTTCAAGGTGGAGAGGATTATATTTTAATTTTTCTATTACTACCGTCCTAGGCCAAATTGAAATTCTCATTTTTCTAGATGAAAACAAACATGTAACTTTTTTGTAATGTTAAATTGATTAAATTTATTCTTTCTACCATCTAAATATTCACACAATTAGTTTTTGACCTTTTCAATAATTATGCGGCCTCAGCGGCTTTTCAGGGTCATACAAGGGTGGGTCTTTTAAGAACTTGGCGTTCTTCAGCATGTACGGCATCATACCCAGATTTCTGGCCTTCATAATTTCCTTTTCGACCAATTCCTGCTTGCCCTTGCACAGGCCCGTGATGTGTCTGCCGTACGGTTTCCCTGTGAAGGACGAGACGAATTGGGACAGCAGACGCAGGTTCTTGTAGCTCGGGTTGATGTCCAACTGGCACAAAATGCACTTGACCTTTTCCTTCTCGAATGGGTTTTTCATTTCACTAGAGGGCAAGTCCTTTGCTCGGCTGCTTATCACTTTCTGCAGAGCTTCTTCTTCCGCCTTGTTAAACGGATTTTCAGGGAAAGGGTTCAGTGCGGGGTTGTCTGTTGACGACGACGAAGTCCATCTGACGATTTTTGGAACGCCTCGGCTACCCAGACGCCCAAGACAGCGCAACATCATTAAAGCTGAAAAAATTTTTTATTTTATTACAAATTTTCACGGATAAAAGTTTTTAAAAAATTTAATAAAAAGTACGAATTTTTTTAGTCTAAATTTCATTGATTCCAGATGGATCGACTAGATTAATTTGATGCCAAAACTTACCGAATATCAATTAAAAAGTGATTAGTCAAAAGATTTCAGTCAATTTCCGCTACAAAAATGGCAATTTAAATGAAAAATTGCGAAAAATTGACAACAAAATCCAATCACATGGAGCTCCTAAGTCCAAATCGCTTTTCGTCTAAAAATCGGTATGAAAATTTAATTTTACCGGTTTTATAAGTTTTCTTATTTATTGGTTTTAGTAAAAACCGGTACGAATTTCCCAATTAACCGGTTAAAGTGGACATAAAAACCGTCAAAACATATGGCGAACGTAAACAAGACGGTGTTCGCCACAGTCGGCACGACGAAATTCGACAAGTTCACCGAAGTATTGGTCACCACCGGCGTGCTTAAGGTACTGAAAGGTCGCGGCTTCACGCGGTTGATGATCCAGTACGGAAATGGCTCGTTCATCCCTCCAGACTGTAATCTAGAGGGTGTCCAGATCAGCTCGTATCGCTTCAAGGACTCGCTCAAACAGGACATGTCCTCTGCAGACTTGGTCATAAGTCACGCAGGTGCGGGCACGTGTCTCGAGGCGCTCGAGTTGGGCAAGAAGTTGGTCGTGGTGGTCAACGAGGACCTGACGGACAATCACCAAGTGGAGCTGGCAAAGAAATTCGCCGACATGGGCTATCTTCTATATTCCACATGCGTCGATTTGGCGAGCACGTTGAAAAAAATGGACCTGAGCAGTTTGAAAGAATATCAGCCTGGTGACCCGGGCTTGTTTGCAGAATATCTTAATAATATAATGATAAAATCTTGATTCACACATTTATTGTTAAAATTTGTCTTCTTTTAAATAAATTTTTTAATAAATTTAAAAAACATGAAATTTATTTATTTAACAAGCGTCATGTGAATTAAATTGATTTAATATAGCATATTAGGCTAAAAAAATTTGGTTTTCAGATTTGGACATGTCTAGTCTGCTAGTTCGATTGAGTGGGAAATTTTTCCGAACTGCTCCGGCGAGCATCTTAATTCCAAAAAGACTTGCTGGTCACAGCAAGTGGGCCAACATTAAGCATATTAAAGCTTTAAAAGATGGCATCAAGAGTAACACTTTCCTAAAATTATCCTCACAAATAAAAGTGGCTATAAATGGTAAAAAAATTAAAAATTACATTAGGAAAATTTGTTTTAAAAATTCTCTTTGCAGAGGCTGGTGGGAACTCGGACCCGAATTCAAATCACAAACTGAAATCTGTCATTGAAGTTGCTAAGAAAAATAACATGCCTTCTGAAACAATCCAAAGGGTTTTGGAACGAGCAAAAGCGGTAATCAAAAAGCAAGCGCAGAATGAACCGCAGTGACAATTTTTTATTCTTAGGTGGGAAAGGCAGTGACAGTTGAAATGAAAGGTCCAGGAGGGTGTTGGCTGATTTTGTCATTGGTGTCCAACAATGCAATTGGTGTAAAAAATTCCCTTAAAAGCAAATGCCGGAAATATATGTAGGATTCTATCCGTTCCACAAGATAGTTGAATTCAAAAAATAATTTTATCGCAGGTTTCAAGAAGCACCCGGTGGTTCGAAAACATCTTTCGACTACAAAGGTGTAATTGTGGCAAAACCAGAATCCGGGGCAGCTTCTTTGGAAGCGAGTCTTGAGCATGCAATTGAGGCAGGAGCAGAGGATGTCGTTTGTAATGAAGAGGATGGAACATTAGAGGTACACTTTACTTTGTTATTCTGTCTCCAAAATGAACTCGTCCATAGTTTCAGTGTGACCCTCGAGAACTGTTCAAAGTTCAACACACGCTGATGCAGCTCAAATATGATATAATGGACTCGTCAAACAAGCACATCCCAAAGAACAAAGTCAAATTACCAGACGAGTCTTTGGAAGTAATTTCAGAATTAATCGACTATTTGTCGCAAATCCCTGAAATTGTTGAAGTTGTGGACAATATTGAATAAAACTCCTTTAGTATAAAAACTACAACACATCAAAATTTTTACTTAAAATAATGCTCTTTCAACAAAAAAGGAAAATAAAATATTTTAACACAGAAAAATGCTTAGGCAATGCGTCTAGCTGAATTTGCAAACCGTCCTCAATCCTCACGAAGCTGGCACAAGAACGTGGTCAAAGTGGAATACTTGGAATTTGCTGTCTCGACACGCAACAACTCTGACTGACTCGTCAGAATTGACATTCTCAATGTCTATACACCTTCCACTCAATTTGTGTCTTAACTGCCCCTTCTGGGAATAAGAATTGGAACGTAAAATTTTGATTTCAATGATAAAATATTTTCATTACCTTAGTGTACTCCCACTCTTGATTTTCACGCATGCCATGGCAGTCTGCTAACACGGCTCTTTCAACTGGAGAATTGCTTGGCCCTGGTGCTTGTACGCAAAGGAACTCTCGCCGCAGCTCTCCCTTTGTTGTGAGCGAGTACAACTGTGGCGGATGTTGAAATGAGCATCTTTTGAATCCAAATTAAATTAAACCTACCTGATTGGTTTGTAATTCATTATGGCAACCATAAACTCCAAGCTCATAATGTGTGCCAGAATCGTGATTTAAGTTGTCGAAGCACATATTCGGTGTGCGAGTCTCTGAACGAACCTGAATTTTTTTTAGTTAAAATATAGAAAATTCACAAAATTTGCCATATTTACTCTTCCGTAAGCAATCACATTTTCGTCAGGAATAAACTTTGATGGATACACATTGTCCAAGTACCATTTGAAACTCTTGCATTTCAACTTCTTGCGGAGAGTCTGCCTTTCACTTAGATCTCCGATGTCCATAGTCTTGTAAAAGAAATTTTGTTAAAATCTATGGAATTTATTTTTGGTTTCTGCTACTTTCAAATCATGCCTATGCATATAGAACAGTCTCTTGTACTCGTCCATCCAGACCTCGACTAGTCTGGCTGTGTTGATGCCGTGGGTGTCCTTTCCTCCAGGGAATGTGTAAGGGTGGAATGGTCTAAATATGTGACCAACTCGAGAACAGGGAATGACTTCTAAAGAACCTCCGCACATCCAAATCTAGATTTAAAGGAGAAATTTTTATTTTTAAATGAATTGCAAAACTGATGCTTACTCTGAATGACATTTCCAAATTTTCGCCTCCCCAAACGTCCATCTGACTATCGTAGGAGCCACTTTCCCAGAAGTAATTCCTATCAATGGCAAACAGCCCACCAGCCATTGTTGGCGACCTGTCTCAAAATAGATAAATAAAATTTGGTTCTTTTAGCATTTCATTCCAGGTCACCTGGTGGCTCCAATCGCTCCTCCCCTGCGAATCTTTTCTTCTTCAGGGACGTGGACCCATGTGAAGTGGCCGCTCCACGTGAATCCTCCCACTTCAAAGTTCTCTGAATGCACATGTGAGTACTCGAAAGTCTTCTCACTAATTACATCAATTATCGGAATCAAAACCGACGTTCGCGACTCTTTAATTCGCTGCAGCAACGGCTCCAGCCTAAAACGAGAATTTGCCAATAACATATTTTTATTTTCAATTTGAGCTGAATGTACCATTGCACTACAACTTCGCAATGGGAATCGAGGAAAATGAGCACATCCGCCGAAGCGGCCCGCGCACCTGCCAGACGGGCCCTGATCAGGCCGCCTCGTTCAGGCAAGCGCACCAATTTGACTTTGTCCGAGGGAAGACGGGTTCGAATGTAGTACTCCAACTTTCCATGCAGCTCCTCTGCAAAAGTGGGTTAAGTTTTATTATAAAATAATTCCTTATCGCTGATTGGCGTGTGTTGTCTGACAAGGCACTTGAAAAAAAATCAAAGTGTCAAATTCATGCTCTGCAATTTCTTACTGTTTATTTCTTCCAGCACATTTGCTGATAGGCATTTTGAAGTTGCCGCAATTGCAAATACACAACATGAATCACTGAAGCCAGACATTATAACAACAAACCAATCAAAAATGCTAAGCGATGTGAATAACTCTAATTTTGACCTCAATTCAATGAAAACTTTTTTATTACATCGAATCCATTGCTAATATTTTTTTAATCAACAAAATTATTTCAAAAAATAATTCTTTTAAGATCAAAAGCACACACTGCTTGAGAAAATTGATCAATTAGTTTGCTTTTCAGGTTTATTATATAAATGTATATCAGAAAAGATTCATGAAAAATTAAAAAGCAATATTTAGGTTAAAGATATAATACAATTATTCATCAGTTTCAATTTTTTTTTAAAAAATTATCTAAGGAAAAATTAAGTAAAAAACGATTTAATTTCATGCTCACCTCTATCGCTGAAGTCATCGACCAAAACGATTTCTTTCAACAAATGAGGGGGCGAGTGGTTGAGGACACTGTGTACGGTTCTCATCAGGGTGCTCCACGCCTCATTTGTGAAAATGATCACAACACTTGCCGTTGGGAGATTATTTGAAAATCTTTGGCTTTTGCACCTTAAATTGATTTTGAGTTAAAATAAGAATTTTCAAGCGCATGTTTTTACATTGGATGCCTGGCATCAGGCACAGTTCTTGTGAGCGAGATTTTGTTGCTTAGAACGATGTTAAAGGCCTCCTTCTTCATCAGTCTCTCGGCGAGCTCTTTTTCCTCTTCGGTCTCAAGTTCACAAGCGGCTCCTTCGTCTCCCAGACCAGGAACAATATTTGCCTCGTCCTGCGCTATCATGGCCTCAAAGTCCTGATCGGTCAGGGCACTCTGTTCGTATCTCACAGGTACATCACTGAAAATATAATTAAAAATTAGAAATATTAATATTAATTCAAATTTAATAAAAATATAAATGGAACCACCATAAAGATTAAATCAAGCTATTTGCATTAAATATTATGTGAAGTACCTTTGCAAGATTTTCTGTGATAAAAATCGATAAAGAGTATAAAGACTCAATAACAGCAATTCAAATCATTTATCAAACCTTGCTTCAAAAAGTCTACTGCATATATATTTAGCCGAGGATTCTCAAAGCATTACGATTAGGAATCACATGCGCACATTTGAGGAAACTATTTTTAATCTAAATATACTGATAAGCAAAAAATATACCAAAAAGCATGTACAGAAATTAAAAAAATTCTCATTTGAAATAGAAGTGGAAATAATTTTGCACAAAATGAAATTGCACGGCCGAGTACCTTTTTGTCGGTGGCGGTGGTTTGATATATTTTTCTTTGATAATGATTTTCTGCTCAACTGACGTGTGCGAGCTGATGGTCATCCACAGGATCACGATGACGAGGAACATGCCCGCGAACAGCAGCTTGGCTGCCCATTTTCTTCTGCGGCGGTGTCCGAACAAATTGAACATCCTTCTAGGCCTCGGTCTATCGGAATGATCGGCGTGGAATTCGTTTTCGATCACCGTCCACTCATTATCTCTCGCGCTGCATACGTATCAGATAGTGGCCACAGGTAGTTATGTGGCACGGAACGTCAAATCCGCCGTGTTTTGTGACATCACCAAAATCGTGATGCCCCTCACCGGACCTCGTCCGGCCGCCTCCGGTTCGCCGTCCCGACTAGAATTCACTGCAATTCGACTCAATCGAGCTCGACGGAGAGATTTTCAGTCAGCGTTCCGATCCATTTGCGCCACAATGCACGTTTTATCGCCGAGAAATCTGCTCCATTCTTCCCACGGACAGAGCAATTCGATACGTGTTTATTTGGACAGCTGAGATTTGCAAGAAGGCGAGCGCTGATTGGTCGCCGTCGACGCAGAGACCGTCGCTGATTGGCTGCAGCAAACGCCCCGTTCCCGCTCAAAGATTTTCTCACATGTGATTTTTGCTCATTGCGGCATGAATGATGGGTCGGAAATTTGACTAATTTTGACGACTCGGACGCACACAAGTTTTGGACATTTTGAGTGATATTTATTTTGACAAGAATGGCGTGCGGCGAAGGGAGAGACTTGTCCGCCAGCAAGTTACAAAAACAAATCACGACAGGACAATTCTCGGTTGTCGACAAATTGATGCGAAACGTAAATTTTTTGTTATTTGAAAGGAAATAATTATGCAAAGGAGAAATTTAGAATCCGGCCTCTTTGCAACTTTCCACCGTCCTGACTGTCCTCAGCAGCACTTGCACGTACATTACCACAGCGCAGAAAGACGCCACGCTCTTGGTTGATCATGATGGTTTGGCAGATGTCACATCATTTTGTTGCTCATTTGCAGGTATTTTAATATTAATCATAAAAATCTTGTTTAAAAAAGGGTAATTTTTCCACTAGCCAAGACAAACGAGATCACAGAGAAGCAAAAAGGCAAAGACAATTTCAAGCGGGCGCTGCAGTCCATCCACTACAACATGTATTATCTGTACAACAAGGGTCTCTTCGACCAGATGGAAAAAATCTGCAACCCTATCTTGGACCTGTCTAAGCTTTTCGCCAAAGTAGATGACATTGAGCAAAGGAATTCGTTGAAGAAAATCTTCCTGGAGCTTGGTTCGATTGGCTGGAACAGTTCCTTTAAGCTAACTGTATTTATTTATCATTAGTTCTATTTTCACTTTATCCGTGTAAAAATTCTAACAGGATTCCAAGGGAGGCCCAAAGCTGAGTCTCTGCCTATTTTCCTTCAAACTTTTTGTTCAAACAGATGAAACTCAATCAAGTACTGCCTGGGACAGAATTGTTAGGTTTGGTATTTGAATTTTTAAATTTGCAGATTTTATTATGATTATTTTTGCAGGGCTCTTATTTCATTTGGCAAAAGTAAGCAGAGTGTGAAGCTTTTCTTGGAAGAAATGGGCTCCTCTTGTGAGCCAATTTTGACAGCAGCCTTGAAAAATGCAAGTTGGGGATTTGTCAAATATCATACAATAAAAAATTGTGAACTTTTTCAGGACTCTTTTGTGAGCCATTTCACAGCCACAATAAAGACTCTTTTGAACAATGTGGATTTGCTGGGTCCCAATGTTCGTCTGGACATCAAGCTTATTGAAGACCTATTCCCCTCAACATGCATACCATTAGTCAAAACTGTTACCAGGGCATATTTAACCTTTGGCTTGATAATAAACAACAAACACAAAGAAGATGAATTTGAAGAATTCAAGTAAAATTCTTAAAAAACAATAAGAGTGCCATATTAAATTTTGTTTAACTAGGACAATGCTCCAGACAGATGATTCTGGAAGGACATCCAGCATTTTGATTGAACTGGCTTCGAGAAAGATAGTGAAATGTGACGATCTAAGCCCTGGCTCTGTTTCGTCCATTCAAGAAATTTTCCATGCTTGCATGATAAACGCTAATTCTGCGGACAAAATTGATCTTGCATACCAAATTTTGGTTATGTCCAATTCACACGTTCCGAAGACCAAAAAAGTTTGCAAATTGATTATTATCATGAGATATACAAATAAACCATTTCCAATTAGAATAACGGTTGGCAAGAAAGTTGTTTGTCATCACTCTTTTGGACAATGGAAGCCCTTGGGGTTGTTAAAGATGAGATGTGTTCAGCTTCAACAGATAATTTCAACCAACGAGTCAGACTTGGTAAAAAATTGAGTTTCTTTAAAATAATAATAATAATCTTGGTTACTTTTTGTAAGTGTACCGCATCATGGTGGTTGCTTGGAATTTTTACCAGAAAGCGAACTGCTGTTACGAAGCATATAGTTTGAACAAGTTCTTCCTGAAGTATGCATTTAAATTAGGAGATATCCCAAACCTTGACAGGGAAAAATATGAAGTAAGTTTTGTTATGCAGAGGTTATCAAAATATACTAATCTGCTTTGCAGAGTGTGATGCACACATTGACGGAAGGCGCCAAGTTTGTGTCTCGAAGCCTGATCACAAAGAGGCCTGGCAGAGAGAAAGAAATGGCAAAGCAAGCTGTGGATACTTGTTTCAAAACTGTTGTCTATGCAGTAAAGAGCATGAAGATCTTGTGCAAGGAGGAGTCTGAAAAAATTGTCTCGAGTGCCATTCAAGTGTGGTGTGATATTAGAATGTTAGCTGCTAAAATTTTAAACGATGTAAGTTATTTAGAGTCAAAAACTATTTGCTTCTACTCCAATGTTGATTTCCAGCAATCTGTTGGACTGGTCGATTACTTAAAATCTAGTGGTCAGTCTTTGGACCCTGAAGCCTTAGAGATTCTACTTTGCATGGAGATTGTTGCATTTGATCAAGAAAAGTGAGTTATAAAGTAAAACCAAAATAATTATTAACTTACTAAGCAATTTTTGCAGAGATTGTGGAGAGCTCTTGAACGTTTCACGTCAAGCCTTAGAAGTGCTGCAGAATAAGTCTGGAGATAAAATGCAGCAATTGCGTACAAAGTTGGCGATTTCGTTGGCCTGCAGCAAGTCGGAAAGTGTGGCCGACGTTGAGAAGAGCCGTCTTGTGGCTATGCAGGTTTCCGAATATCTGGTTAAAGAGGTAATAATTAAAATCATTGTGAAAATTTTCTATTGATTACAATTTTATTGAAGGTGAAAAAAGCACCAGCTCTTGACAAACTGATCATTCTGATCTTAGCTCTCCACCAAGAATTTTTAAGCATTAAGAAAGAAGCAAGATTGAAAAACAAGGTATGGAATAATTTTTATAATTTAGTGATATTTTTACTGAAAAATGTTTATTAGGAAATGGCTGATGTTCCTCTTACTGTTCGTGCTCCATCGAAGCGAGACGGTCCGGAAGATGAGCAGAAAACTTGTGAGGAATGGGAGATTGCTGTGGAACTGAGTCAGCTTGGTCAAATCCTCTCTTGCAGGCAGGAGAGCAAAGAATTGAAGCAGCTGACCATGATGCTCAACTACTGCTCAGAGATTGTTAAAATGGTAACAATTGACCTGAAAGTTTCCTAACAAGATTAATTTAGGTGTGCTGCAGGAAATCTCTTCAAATGACAAACCGTCTTTAGGACCTATCCTCCAGGCAATGGAGTGTGTTGGACTTCACTTTACTATAACTGGTCATGAATGGTGTGCAATAAAATGCTGGAACATTTTCTACTTGCTGTCAAAATTAGTTGAAAGTCCCCAGCATCAGCTCAGAGGTGGAAATCTAAAAGAAAAAAAACGGCTGATTTGTTTATAAAATGATTTTTCAGCTCTTGGTTGGCTCATCCAAAAATACAATCTTGAGGACGATGAAAAGCTTCACAACTGGATATTGCAAACAGGATCTGAATTGAAGAAGAAAATTGAGGCTAATAAATCTCAATCTGTCAATGAGTCATTCACTTTGCGCTTCTTCGACATCTGCCTTGCTCAGTGCTATGTGAACTCAGGAAAAGTAATAACTGTGTTTGAAAAGAAAGAAAAAGACAATTAATTATAACACAAATTTTTAGCCAACTGAGGCTGCTCACATAATATTGCAGCAACGCAAAGAAATTGATCATGGCGTGAACTTTTTATCGGCTGAGCTAATGCGTCGCACATTTCTTATTGCCAGCCAGGTAATGGGTTGCTTTAGCAAAGACCACCCTCTTTCCAAGCCACTGGCAGAGGCCTTTGTGAGCAATGTAGGCTCAGCTGAGTGGACATTCAAATGGGCAGTCAGTCACATCTCAACAACAAAGCCAGCTGGTAAGATTTCTCTCTGCTCTTTTGAAAGTTGAATAACCTTTTATTGTTCTTGACAGAGCGGGAACTTGTGGACTTAAGACTGACAGAGCTGATGTTGTCAAGTGGACTGTGGCTCGCAAATTTGTGTTGCATGAGCTGCTGTTACAAGAAGGCTTGCTCCACACTTCAGTCAATGCTCTATAAACTTCAAAGACTGCATTTCCCCACTAGGTTGTCATTTTGCCCTTTTTTAAAACTATTTTTCAAATAAATTTTTCAGGGTTGCCCAGCTATTGTCTCTGCTTGGTGATTTGGACACAATGGTACCTGACACGCAGCAAGTGGAGCAAAGACTGTTTTGGAATAGAAAAATTCTTAACCTTGGGACTGCCATTGCTGGTGATGCAAAGGGAGCCAAGGACCTGTCTCCAGCAACCACTCCGTCGAAAGTGATGAGGAAAGAGCACCAGTTGACAGCATGGTGTTCACCCAAGTGTCAAGGCAGCAGCGGTTGTATCCTGTGCAAAAACCCACTCTACCAAATCTGCAAGGCCCACTACCTGTTCTTGTCAGCCACAAACAAGGAAACGTTTTGGACCTTATTCAGCGAGCTTGAAAAGGCCAACGCAGTGAGATCTCAAAGACTCTCTTCACTTGCCTGGTCAAACATGCACAGTCCTGCTATCAAAACAGGCTGGTTGCAAATGCTGCAAGGACCCATCGACTTGTTGAAACACAGACTTATTTTGTCTGATGCGCCAAAATTGGCAGCCAAAACTGGAAATGAAAATTTTGCCCTTCGTGCCTTGAGAGAGGTTCTTGTTTGCTCAGCCCAGATTAGGAGGCTGAAAATGCCAATCGCTAGATATCTGGAGAACTGGGCTGTTGCTGAGGAAGTTGCCATTGGAATCCAACTGCTTCGTAATATAAATTTTATCTACTCTTTGCTAATATTTACAAATTTATTTCAAACATAGGGATGGGACCTTGGAGTACTGAATTGCAAACAAAAAGCTACACTCTTGCACCCGAATACAAATCCGAGGAAGAAACCAGCAGACCATGCAGTCCCACTCCAAACATTGTTATTCCAACAAAACCACCAAAGCCGCAGAGAAGGGGACGGAAGGCTTTAATTGCCGAACCTGAGTACATTGCCCCTCCAAATCCTCAAAAGGTGGAAATCATTGATTTAGTAGAAGAATCTCCTGAAAGGGTAATTTATCATTTTAAAATTACAAAGCATCAAGCTAATTAAAGGTTTGCAGGTGAAGATTGCTGCAGCTCCGAAGATGACATTCAAGACTTGCAAAAAGCCTTTTGTTGAGGATCGACACAAGGAAAACTCCCCAAAACCCTTTGACGACGATTCTCCTATTTTGCCATTCCGCAGTACCAGACGGCAACTGATTAAGCCCGTTGCAGAAGTGACATCTTCACAATCTACAACCCCCAAAGAGACAGGCCCTGGTAGGGACACGGTGTTTACGACTGCTGTGAAAAAACCACCAAGCAACTTTTCTTCAAGTTCTAATGATTCCCACGGATCAGTGAAGCCTAAAAAAGTTGTGGCAAAGACAAGAGTTACCAGAGAGGTTAAAACAAAAGCTAAACCTCCAGTGGTACTGCCAGATGAGGCTCCAAAAAGACGAGTGAAAAGAAGCAGCTCTACCTCTTCAGATGATATCTTTGTGAATACGAGAACAAGAAAGAGATGATTTTATAGACGCAGATTTGAATATTTATTTCAATTAAAAAAGATATTTTTAGGTTTAATGATTTGAAAAAAGGTGTAATTTAAGAAATGAAAATGCTTTTTTCTAAAATGTGCAATAAATAAAGAAGTTTTTTTTATTACCAACAAATATCTGCATCTGCAAATTTGCTCCATTCACAATTTTTATAATGTGGCGGACTAGACTGCGCAAAGGAAGCCCAGCAACATGCACAATAAGATCAGAAAATATACATACGCAACAGTGTACCCAACACACAAAACAAACACAAATATTACACCATACTTGTATACATAAATATATATGTAGAGGCACTAATTCGCATCGCTACATTAATCATAAGTTTTATTATCTTGGGGATTAGATAAGTGCATTATTATTTCTGGTCTGGCCAGTGTTCTAGTAGGAAAATAATAAAAGTGATATCCATTTTGTTACAAAAATTGTAAAATATAAACAAATAATATATTTGCGCGTACTTCTCCAAATAAAAATATCAAAAAATTGACAGGAGTCTATGCAACTCAGGCTGGGCAAAGGTAGGTAATGGCACAAGACACACCTGGTTAACTTTCAGATTCATTTGCAAAGCTGTGAAATTGTTGCAGCCTTAATTGCAATAAAATTTAATCATACAATATATGCAAACAACAAAACAAAATCAAGCGAGAAATTCACACTACAAGAGAGGGGCGGGGAAGGCGGTTTAAAGACTTGAGCATTTGCCCACGACTTCGGGACCGTTTGTCCGGAAGGGAATGCTCAGTTGGGTTTTCCGAAGCATCTGGCCACCGTTCTTGATCAGCAGCGACTCCTTGGGGCCACTTGGTTCCGGGCAGACGACCACCTTAGGAGGCTGGTTGGTCTCAAGGAGGCTCCGGAGTGCAGACCTGCCGCCATTGCCATCCCCTTCGAGGTGGTCACGGTTTTCAATGTACTCGAGATCTTTGGTGGACAACTGGTTTTCCGAGCACAGGAGGTCAATCTCCTTTTCCTCACTGGCCTTTGAGTTGATCTCATTTGCCGCTCGCTCCAGCTGCAGTCTCTCATTTTCCGCCACAGCCAGAAGAATGCTGAAGGCCGACAGGTCATTGGTCCCCAGAATTAAATCTTCCTCTTTCAACAGCTTTTTACTCTCATTCGGTCCTATTATAAAAATTCACTAATAAAAATGAACATGTTTAATTTGATTAACAAACCATTTTCCGAACCCAGCATGAGCTTCCTTTTGCAAATTCCATCCCCTCCAGCTTTCGGCTCCAACGGAGTCAAAGAGGAATTTCTTATGCGCCTACCAGGCATTGGCGGTTCAGAGGGTTGAACGTAAACTAGAAATGCTAATCAAAATTTTGTGTTTTAATTAAATGATTATGTGCAAACCTTTCTCTCCCGAGTGGAGATTGTCAATGGCTGGGCCGCAGTATCCGTAGAAGAGTCTGCGTCGAAGGCTGTCTTTGGGTGTAATTTTGCAGACAAGACCAAGAGCAGACAACACGTTAGCGACATCGTAGATTCGACGCACCTTATTTCTCAACTGCTTTGCATTGTCTTCGTCCTCTCCGCACAATAGCACCTTCCCAGCCCATTCTAAACTGACAGTCTGCAGAAGAATATATTAATTTAACTGTTGGAAATTTTTAAAATTATTACCTCGTGCTTGAAAAATAGAGTCAGAAACTTGAGGCAGGTTCCTCCCAAAGACTTGTTTTTCCACGTGTGAGGTCCTTTAGGCTCCGGAGACTCTTTTAATCCTGATAAGACGCAGGACCTCTTCCTCACAGTCTTCTCCTTCAACAAAGTCTGCAGCAGCAATTCTCGTGCCGATTCAGAATCTGTAGGGGTCGTTGGTGGTTCTCCAGTGGAGCTGCCGGACACATATCCCTGCTCCAAATTATCCTGCAGAAAGTCTGATTTGAATAAATTCTTAAATAATTTAACTGGAAATACCAATTCCTGCAGCCTGTTCTGGTCGGAAAGTTGCTTCAGCTCGTTCAGCAGACGCTTAACGTTACGAAGTCCGTACCACCGGTACAAGTTTTTGGTAACTTTAACTGCCATTTGCAGACTTTCCATTACATTGATGATGTCGTAGAGCCTTCTTCTACTGAGGCCCAGCTTGTCCGCCAGCACCTCAAGCGGAATATCCATGCTTGATCCGGCTTGCAGGTCCAACGGATAAAACTCCAAGAACCTTTGGAGGAAAAGATTTAAATTATTTTTCAAATTTATTTTAATTCAGAAATTCTAGCTGGTCTGTACTTTTTGCAAATGGCCAAGAGGGACTTGTTCTTCCGCAGGTTGGCATCATCCTTGGTTTCGATGGTGCTCAGGAGCAAGAGAGGTGTGGTCAGCACCATTGGCGGCGTCGTCGTTTTTGCCGATGACGAAATCTCTTCAGACATTTCAAAGGCACTCGAACGTTCTCGGCACGGAAGGGAATGCAAGTTGCGAATTCGGCGGCTTCTCTCTGCGTCTCAAAACAAGCTCTCAAGGCTGCAACACATACGAGGGAGGCAAAAATCAATTTTAGCGCGTGTGCTATGCCCGCCCGCCCGCCGGTTTGCCGCATAATTTTTCCGGCGTCACCATTTTTTCGCATTAGTCGGCACTTTTTCGCGGGCGGCGCCACGCGCGTCGGCCCTTTCGGCGTCGAACGCAGACACTCACCTCACAGCGCAGAGATTTCCGGTGACACCACACAAATTCGGCCGAAATCATTCCAATCAATCACGGCCTGGCCGCCAAAAATAAAATTGCCCTGTTGGACCGCAAACAACCGAGCTTCCGATCACCGCCGCCAGAGGTGCTGCAGTCGTGCAGTGATTGGGCGCCGGCACAGCAGCCAATCAGGCGCCGTCCTCCTTGACAGCTGAGTTGGAAAAACACAAATTTGACGGAAACAATTTTAAATCTGAATAATTCGCTTGGATTTAAGATTAATTTGTACAAAAATAATTATTGCTTCGTAAAATGGATTCCGTCGAAGTTATCGAGCAGAGAATATCCGCTTTGGAGGAGAAGGTTTTCGGAAGAAGCAAATTATCAACTGAACCAGCACCTGAGGTTTGTTTTGTTTGGATGCAACTTTTCTTTAATTTCATAAATTTGTCATTCGTTAATTGTAATTTTCCTTCCATAGCTTTCTGCAGAGCTGTTAAACGTCAACTCAAAAATCATCTCAGCTTTGGCGCACAGGGACAGTATCAATTCAGTTTTGAACCGACGTAAGTTAAATAATTAATATCAAAAGCAAAATATACATAATTTTAACAACAAAATTCCAATAGTGGATCAGTTGGAGGGCTTCATGGACCCTATGTACGTCACGAAAAGTGGCCTCACCCCTGAAACAAAGCTGGAGCTTGTCAAAAGTGCAGAGGACGAGATGAGAGAAATATTAGCCAACTTTGAACAGGTCAACAAACTTGCCCCGGCCCTTGATAGTGACTACATCAAGAGTAAAAACTTTCCTTATTAAATGATCATTCTCTGATATTTTCAATCTTAATTACAGAGGTGCCTGACATGACGGCCGAACTGGAAAAACAAACCCTGGTTTATTTGGATTTCAAGGAAAAAGCGGACAAGCAGACTGGTGACGTGCAGGATCTTCTAAAAAAATATAATGAAATCGTATCCTTTTCACATAAATTTTTCTCTCCATTTTCTGCTGGCTAAGGGACTATTTTTTAAATTATAATTTAATCTGAAGTCGTCCATCAAAGAGCCAATTTGTTTAAAGAAAAATAAATAACTTTGGCTCCTGTCTTCATTTATGCAAAATATTATTGCTTCAAATCAAGTTTTTATAATGATATCTATATCCGAACATCTGAAGTGTTTTTTTTTTTTATATATATATAAATTCTTGCTCAAAAAATCTAATGAGAGTTTTTTCCTTAATAATGAAATTTAGGTAACGCTTATTTCTGCCTCTTTTGTGAAGTGGGATGAGGTGATCACCAACTATGAAATTGATGCTGCTGAGAAGAAGATCATTGATTAGGTATTTTACACCCAATATTTCTAATAATTTTTGCAATTATGTTAAAAACTATGATATTTATTAATAAATTTAATGAACCTTCACTGGCAGACGGATTGAATTTTTTACTCAAGTGCTTAAAGGAACAATACAAAACTCACCTGAATGAACAAACAAATCGAAAACAAAAGATTACTGATGAGAAAGCAACTAATTTATTGTTCTGCGTTAATAAAAGCAGCAGATGTTACATTGGCATGTGGGTCATTGCCAAAAAGCCAACCATCTGCAGCCTTATTGAAATATTGAAATATTTTGTCAAATTAAATTAATGCAGCTAGGAATATATTTTAAGTATTAAATCAAAAAATTGATTAAAAGAAAATATACTTACATTGGCTTGAGCAAAAACACATTTGTGAAAAGCAACTTTCTGAAAGAGGTCAAAATGCTTTCCTGTTGACCTCCGCAAGCTCTGCCGTGAACTTGGGGTCGTCGTCGGCCTCGTGGCACAGCTAATTTGCACCTTGCCGCGCGTTAAATAATGCAAATGATTTGTCAATTATGGACGATGCCTATTAGGTGAGATTGAGCGAATTAAATTGGTAGGTGCGAGCAACGGGGAAAATAATGGTTGTCATCTTATTACGACGTGTGTCAATAATTACGCAGCAATAATAACTTCGCCGGTTCTATAATTTGATGACTTACATGGTAATGATGCAACTTTTCCGCAGAGGTCAAATCTCCAAATCACACTTCAAAACTAAAATAAAAAATCATTTAAAATTGCACACTTAATCAAGAAGGGCATCAAAACTGATTACGATGTCGATGTAATTATTATTATATCTCGATTTAAATGTTAAGTGGACAAGACGATTAATTTAAAAATAATTACTGGGATGCCACTAATGCGTGGGCGTTCCAAGGCTGAAAAATATTTTCAAGATAAATAGTGAATTGTCATCAAATAATCCTTCAAATGGAAAAAAAATCTGAAAATATAACATTAAAAAGAGCTTATCAAAGGTCTCTTCCTGAGTGCTTTTCATTGCCAAGAATCTTCTCAAAAAGTGGGTCGAGAATTCATTCCGCCCTTATTTGCAACAGAGATTCTTTATCTATACTAAACAATCATCAGCATAATCTTGTAAAAATAGTGTTATAAGTGATAGAATATTTTTGAAGAGCACTATTGACACTCAAAAGATTTTACTGGAATGGGGCATAAAAATCATAATATTGTTAGGTGACGATACTGACGATGAATTTTCAAGGTTGAACGACGCAAATTAATTGTGTCATTCATAGTGGTGTCAATCAAATTTATTCAATAATTTCTTATTAAAACTTAATCGTTTGTGGAAGTTGTTTACAATTGATTACAACAAAAGAGAATAAATGGAGAACAAAAATATTAAGCACACAAAATACTATAATTTGCCCCTTGGGATATACTCGATCGTATAATATGTTGGAAATACGCTCGACCGACATAATATCCAGAAATAGTTACATTAAATCAGAACAGGTGTGCCCGCGAGTATTTTTACCCAAATTACCAAACAAGCGGCATCAAAGTAAAAATAAATCGGGCGAAATTTGGCTCCGTTTGTGCGCCATAACTATCTGAAATGGCGAGTATGTAAGTAATTGGGGTGGTCGCTCCTCGCTCGGACCAGTTCCTTGGCAGCAGGTGTCCGCGTGTCAACTTGGAGGAAATCGTACGTTATCCGCGCCGTTAATTTATTTCGGCAGCGACATGAGGTGACACTTGACTTTTTTTATTTGTGGACGAGCTATTTCCGAGCTCCAACATCAGAACTCTCATCCACGACTTTTTTTTAAATAAAAATGCAATTTGCGCCTCCGACGAAAAATTGAGCATAAGTTTTTTCGGCCACAATACCAATTTTTTCTATTTTATTGTGTTTTTGGTCCACTTGTTTACGGAAGGACTTAATTCCATGGGCGTTTTGAAAAATAAGAATTCACGTCATTTGATGTTTTCGCAGATTTTTATTTTTTGCAATGAAAACTTTTGATGACGTGTTTCGCACTCTCTGGCAAACAAACACAATCGGTTTTCCTTGCTCTAGAGCTCTCCAGCGCGTCACACTACTTTGATTTCACGGCCAAGGCTAGAGATTTCGCGCACGGCGTTCTTAATGGCAATTAAAAACTCGAATACACTCGAAAACTCCAAGTACATCGAGGCGTCTGCTTTCCATTCTTTCCGGTTCGATCAATTATATCGGCATTTCTAATCAGCGATCACACGTCGTCTGCGAGATTATGCAAATGTAGGATACTCGGTCAATTACACTTATTGCAAAGACGCGCACTTCAATCATACAATTTTACAACTGTGATTATTTGATCTTATCACCAGAGTGTAATTGAGTGTTCGTTTAGAAGTGGAATAAATAGAGATAAAAGTTAATTTTTCTGCGTACTCACTTTTTTTTATTAATTGACACACTTTCCTAAAATTTAAATTTCCGAAAAAAGTTATTTTTTTATAATTATTTTTTTGTATTCAAGATTAATTAAACTGAGAAAGAAAACTGAAAGTAATACAAAGTAGTACAACAATGCGACGAGAAAGCATGTGGTGGGTCTTCTTTGCTTATTGCCTTGCCGTAATTATCGCACACAGAGAGCGTCAAACAATTACAATTATGTTTCATTTCATCCTTCGCAGCTGTTTAATTTCAATTTCTCCATTCAACAGCAATCACCGTTTTCCACAAACAAATAAAGGCAATTTGATAATTTATTTTTATTTCATCGTCTGCGCCAAAAAAGTAGGCCAGTGACTTTTTTACCCAAAGCAGGTCATGCAGGGAGGTGCTTGCGTGCTTTTTACTTTTCTTCTGCTCTTTGCTTCATTTCACTTTCTTTTCTCCATTCACAGAAAGAGAAAGATTAGAAAGAGTGGCCGATCGACAAAGAACGCTTTTGAATTTTTTACTGCTCTTCCAGGCGAAGAAAGGTTTGACTATTAATAATTTCAATTATAGTTTCTCTCTTGGAAAAATATATTTGCCCAGTCTATTATAAAAACAAGGAAATTTCATTAGACCGTTCGTATGCAACAAAGCATCCAAAGCATCAAGTTGGCTCTGCTCAAGCGACCGTGAGTCACACACAGACACTCTCGGGAAAAAGGATTTTCAGACCGGAACGAACTCATCCGACTCACAATAAGTTTCTGCTGCTGCCTCACGCCTTTTAATTGCACTTGTACCGAGACATTTTGTTCCTTACAAATGTTGCAATTAAGCAGTTCTATGTTTAACTTGAAATTTTTCACAAATTATTTTGACTCAATAATATCAATAATTATTATATATAATAAAATAAGCTTTTATCGTTCTACTTTAATTTTTTTTTTTATTATTCACAAACCAGTAATAGAATAAAAAAAAAACTAGATCAGGAAAATTAGCAAAGTTTAACAATATAATTTTAAAAACTTTAGAAAACGGGTAAAAATCACTTTATTTGATATTTAATTGAAAGAAAATTAAAATTGTTATTTTCAAATATTAATAAACCTAAATTGTTATTAAAAGTACAATTTAATCAGTGGTTAAATAAAAAAACTTCCAAATTAAAAGAAATTAAGAATCCATGCACGAATGCGTCAATCCACTCCCACGCCTATACAGAAACGACTTTGGTCAATATCAAATCTCTCCTCTCTTTGCAAATAAGTGTGTCGCGAAAACGAAAGGGTAGTGAACTGCCAGACTATGGCACCGGCGCGGGTGGCAATTGTAAATAAATTATTATTTACGCTCGCTGGGACGATGAATACCACGCATGCTGATGAGGAGATGAAAGTTTTCGATTTGGTGCCAGCAGCGAACGCCTGATCAGGTCGAATTTATTTCCGCCGCGCGAGCCAACTGGCCGTGAACCTGAATTAAGTTGACCGACACATCTTTCTGGAATAAATCGCAGCGACGCTTTAGAAAGTGTCTTAGCACGTATTCGGCACCGAGACGACTCTAGAATGAAATTGGTTTAATTCAATTCACTGAAGGCGTGCACAAAACCAATTTAGGATGTAATGAGGCTCAGCAAAGAATGTATCAAAATTCAATAAAAAGAGCACGAAAACTTGACTTTGAAGAAAATAAATTGATACTAAAATGTGATCTTGATTAATCAACAAAATTGAAAATTTGCAAAAAGAAAAATTGACAGAGTTTATTTATTCTGCATTCGTTACAGACATTTTTATTCAATTCCAAAAAAGAAAAGCTAACCAAGCGGCAGCCATACCAAAAAACCAGTGATTCTGCTCAGGAAACTTCGTAATTCCCTCTCAATTTTCATCCAGTAAGTTTTAATTTCTTGAAGGTCCCTAGGGCTTATACACGTACAATAATTGCAATCATATACTATCATATAATAGTTGCTTATTTTATAAACAGTTGTTATTTAAAATAATTTCTAGAACAAGAATCTTGTAATGGACTATTATAAACGTTATTGTTTGACTGACGTTGCTGATCGAACTTATAATCCATGATCAGAAAACCGATGTCAAGGTGCATTTTTTTTTCTAGAACTCGGAAATTAAGTTGTCGCGCAAGCAATTTCTATGCTTTCTTTTGTGTTTCATGGATTTACCTTACATGAATCCCAACAAGCAATTGTATTCAACTTAGATAAAAATAAGTCTATGGCAGTGGCAAAGACAGAGAGGGGCGCGGCTAGAGTGCATTGACTTCTGCATAGAGTGTAATTTCTCGCGGGCGCAATATGTATTCTGTGCGCGCAGTGCCGTCATTTGATTGCTGCGGCGCGCACAAAAGAAGAAAAAATGGTGACACGCGCGTCACAAAAGAAAAAACTAGGTGGTTCCGACAGCGATTTGCATAGTGGGAGAAAAGCGAAACTTTTGATTTCGACGATTCGCTTCCTTTTGCAGGGAGAAACTTGAGTGATCCGTGATTTTCTATCAAACAAATTCCTCTCGTATCTTTCGTATTTTAATTTAAATATATATTAAAACGCGTCTAATTCAGTAGAAATCGGTAAACGTAAAATTGTTGATTTCTGTAATTGAATAATTGAAACTATCTGCCAGAAAAGAGAG